CATTCACTTCAGTGTGTGAACAGGAAATCTGCACCTTCTTACTCCTGCAAGATGGAGATTTCTCCAGGTTTTGTTCTTAGCGGGTGACTGGGCAGTGTGTGAGATTCTTCGCACACCCTTGTTCCCAGGCAGTGCCCCAAAATGCTGTCTCCGGCACCTGATGGCTAGAGTTGGAATCTTGCCTATGTTTTTTACTGGGTGTGTGGCTTTGAGCAAATCATGGAACCTCTCCTAGCCTCAGCATCTGTATCTGTGAAATGGGAGAATAAGAGCTCCCACTTCCTGAGAAATGGGCAAGAGGAAGAAGTGAGGGTCTTGGCTTCTGGACTGAATGCTAATCGTAACATTCTTCAGGTTGCTTTACTTTCAGTTTTGTTTCCTCTAGTCTCCAGGGTTGTCATGCTGGTTGAGTCAGATGGGAACAGACCCCTTTTCTGATTTAGTAGACCTGCTCCTCTCCCCTGCTTAACCACTAGGAAGTTTCATCTTAGGAAAGCTGGGTGGGCTGATGGGTTGGGGTGTGACCAGGGCCCGGAGACCTGGAAGTTCTTGGTGAATTGGGGTGTGCCAAAATATACCTTTCATTATCTTACTTTTTCTTCCAGAAAGAATGCTTCACAATTTGCTTTAGGTTTGACATCATGTGCATATGTATGTCTATTATGAAGGTGGAGAGGAATGTTGGGGCTGGATCCATTATGGATAGACCTTGAGTATCACTTTAGCATTGACCATCCAGGTGCTCAATCAGAAAAGGTCAGCAGAAATGGCCTGTACCTTTATTTTGTCTCTTCCTCCAAACTAGCATACTTCCTCTAATAAGATTTTTTCTTCTAGTAAAACATTTTAAGATGAGTTTGTCAAATGGGTTCACACAAAATATAATGGGCAAAAATCTTCAGCCACAGTTATGTGGAAAGCCATAGTAATCCTTCAAGAAGTATTTCTTATCTCAATACCTACTTAAAGTAGAGAGACTGTCCTTTTCCTTTATCATCTTTATTGCAATAGTACTGCAATTCATATGGGTGTAACAATGATTAAAACCAGTTGCTCCTACAAATTGTTCCTTGAGAACAGGATTGAGCTTGTTTTGCCAATCACAAAACTCTCCCAAGAGTGGTCAATCCATTTCTGAGCCAGTCACTTTGTGGAGAAGAATGGCTTAAGGCTGTTATTGGCCAAAGATCATGGACTCTACCCCAGAAGACAGGAAGAGTCCCACTATAGGAAGAAATCTTCACCATACTCCCCTAGGAATCCTAGAGGCTACCAGGAGCAAGTTCTCTGAGCTGATGGTGGGGAACAAGATGATTTCCAAAGAAGCTTCTGCCCTGTGGAAGTTCTCAGGGGGCTGCTGATGTTATGGGTGGAGAGTCTGCCCCAAAGAGGCAAGGAGACATAAACTCTGTTGGCAGAGTCTTAAGTCTATCAGAATCGTTCCTGCACTCATCCGTGGGTAGAGGTGGAGGGTTACTAGAAGGTCTCAGGGGAGGCTCAGAGTCTGGTAACTAATAGAGATGAATTCATAGCACAAGAGAGGATTTATTTGTATTTCCCTCTTCATTTACTAGGAGGAGTGAGTTGTAAGCTCTAAAAGTAGAGGGCCCACTGGAATCAGGCGAGATCTTGTGTTTGAGCATTATTTTGTCACAAAAAGAGGAATAATTTGGGTATCTCCAGTATTTTTTTTCTCCTGTTGGTTGAAGTTCTGTGAGTGTCTGCATAGAATGGTGTGAGACCTGGATCAGGACCTTCTCAGGTCAGCAAAAGTTTCAAGAGAATATATTTTGTGCCTGTGATTCTGTGACTGTGGTGGCTTCTGCTCATTTGGGTTGAGCCAAAGAGTCAGACACACCACCCACTAACCACATTTGGAGTACAGAGCTGGAGAGGAAACCTGCAGACTGATATTGAAGGATCTTGAATGACATACTAAGGAGTTTCCTGGGATAGTTTTTCTACTCTCTGATACCCCTTTCTGGAAAGTAGTATCTGAAAAAAAAAATAGTATGTGCAAAGGTTCTGTGGTTCTCTTGACAATCTAAGAGAAAGTCAATGTGGCTACATAATGGGCACCTGTTTACTGGAAACAGGGGAGAAGGCAGAGCATGGGGGAAGAGGAAGTTGGAGACAAGTGAGAGCTAGATGTCACAGGGCTTCATAATTCCTCATTTGGGAAGGTGGGATGTTGTCCTGAAAGCAAAGAGGAACAGATGAAGGTTGGAATGGTGGCGAATTTGGTCAGATTTATATTTTAGAAAGGCTATTCTTCTGAGGATGGGGGTATGATTCTGTGGGAGAGCACATGTTTAGTATATGCAAGGCCCTGGTCTTGATCACGACCATTAGAAGAAAAGAAAGAAAAGGAAAAAGAAAAAAGGACTACTCTGCCTAGACTGTGGAGGATGGAATAGATTATTGCAAGGTCATTCCCTCAGTCACTCCATCTGCCCTGTGTTTCCATCTGTCTAGGAGGCTGTAATTTGACATGGGACATATGAAGGTAAGACGTTATGGCCCTGATTTTTCTGGGGCTGCTGTGTTGGAGGGCCTTGGTTTAACCATCTTTAGGGCTAGAGTTAGTCTCTCTTGCTCACTGACTCCGTGGCCAATGCTTCAGTGGCTTTCCAGGTATCTGCTTCCTGCATGGGGAGCGAGGGTGCTTGGGGCCTGAAGGGGCACAGCCACTACTGAAGACAGACAACTTGGGGAGCCAGCACAGTGCACAGTCCTGTCAGAAGCTTTTAAAATAATTATCTCAGCCTGTGCTGGCTGGCTGGCTGGCTGACGGCAGCCTATTAGCCCTGAGTTGGAAATTCTGAATTGTTTCATGACAATTGAAAACGATTGGAGGCCAACCAGGAGGGAACTGCCCATGAAATATTTATGTTTCCTCAGTGTTGTGGGGCTGTTCTCCTTCAGCCTGGGAACCCTGGATGCATAGAGGTGGTGACTTTAAAGTCACCACTGTTGCTTTTGAGGGATCCTTGGGCTGATCCCTTGAGAAGATATTTTTTTTTTGAGGTACTGAGAATTGAACCCAGGGCTTTTGTGCCAAATTACATGCCCAGTATTTTTTATTTTTAAATTTTGAGACAGATCTCCCTAAGTCAGTAAGTTAGTTGCCCAAGGTAGCTCAAACTTGCCATTCTCCTGCCTCAGCCTCCCAGAGTGCTGGGATTATAGGCATGCCCCACCATGCCCAGCTGAGATGGATGTGTTTTTGCGTAGAGTTGAGTTTGGTTTGGAAACCTGCTGTTACATCACTTCCATCTGTGCATTTAGTACTCCAGCCTCACTACCAGACCCTACTGGAACAGAATTTGGGGCTGGAGAGGCTCTGTGTTTATGTCTGATCCACATCATTCCCAGTATTGAAGGCTTACAGCAAGTCAGTCTGGGTGTGAATCCCAGCTCTGCCTCTTAGCATTGTGAGTCTTGTTTCTCAGCCATCCAGTGGGGGATGCTAAGAGTTCTTGCCTTGCACGGCTGTGAGGTAAGGGGATGTCCATATGTGGTGGGCCACAGGCTCAAGTGTTCATCAAGAACAGCCTCTGGTAGATCCCGGGGTCAGCCCACCATTGGCTAAGGGAGCCCCACCTGGATCCCCAGGGATATATGCAGTCCCTTTTCCTCTGCTGAGTGTTTTGAAGTACTTTATATTTTGCTCTTCTCTGCGAATCCTAAATAAATATTCATGCCAGAATGTTGTGTGCTGGTCTGGCGGGCAGCCCTGATGGGTGAGGTGCCCTGGGATCTTGATAAGGGTCCCCACATGCTCAGTTGAGTCCTCTGCTCATCTCGGTGGGCTCCTGCCATAGCAGAGAAAACTGGTGGGCAGCATCAGCCCTGACTTCCTGACCTCACAACCTGCTCAGGGTTGCAGGGGCCTAGTGCTCCTTGCTTCCTTTAAATTTCCATTAGCTATTTGTGATTTGAACCAGAAAATGTAATCTATGGAATGCATCTATGAATATATGCAGAAGGGCTAACATATTTTAAACACCAGCTGTATGCCCAGCCTAGCCAGCCTCTTTGTATTAGGCCATTTCTTCATCACAGCCATCAGCCCAGCTGTCAAGCAAGAAAAAGCTCAGTGACTGGCACAAGATTCCAGATAATAGTAATAATAACACCAACTCCCTCACACTAAGCATTTGTCTTTGCCAACATCTTACTATATGTTAGCTTCTTTAGTTCCCAAAGCAAATGTGTAGGTTTTTCTTTTCCTTTTGGTACTGAGGATTGAACTCAGGACTTTGCACTTGCGAGGCAAGTGGCAGAACCATTGAGCTCAATCCCCAGTCCCAAAGCAAATGTGTAAGGCAGGGACTGTTTTGAGTCCCAGGGATCCAGGAATTGAGGCCGAGGAAGTGATAGAGCTCTGTCTGGACTCCTAGGCTCTTTGCTCCCCTCAACCCCCACCAATGTGATGTAAAGTTGGAGACAACCGTATCATGGAGAATGAGTTCCCAACACTCATACAGAGAAAATGAGGCCCAGAAACCTGTCCCCTCAGAGTGTCTCTGCCCTCTGGCCCTCCATCAGTCTCTTTTTTCCTTGGTGCTGTCTGTGGAATCAAGGTCTGACGTCTCCTCAGAGAACCTGCCTTTCTGGGGGCTGTCCGCCTGTCCAGTAGTATTCATCAGGGCACCTTGACCTGCCTGGTTGGGCAGGACCATCCTAGGCAGCACAGGCTGCAGGGTGGGGTCACCTCCTCCCAGGGAGGTTGGAACTGTTTGTGAGCCAATAATGGATGCTCCTGCCTACTCTTCCTGTTCCTCTTGTTAGGGTCTAGCTCACATTCAGCCCCCTACATCAAATCTCAGATCCTTATCCCTCCAAAACATGCTGAAACTCACTGCCACTTGGGAGTGACTAACTGATGACCTGGATATATTTCTTGCCCCAGGGAAGTGCCTAATCTTGTGAGATCATAGTGGCCTGTCAGGCAGGGTGCAAGGAGGGTGGACTTCTGGTGGGTAGACAGACTTCCACCTGGGTATACCTGCAAGTGGAGCATAGGGCCATGGAGGATGGGGGCTGCCTCTGAGCCTTAGGGGTGAGGCTTGTTTGTGTGCAGGGCCCAGATCTCTGCCAGGAAGATAAACACAGGGTTAGGGGACGAGTCTTGACAAATGTTTGCCAAGTCCCTGGCCGACTTGGGAGTCAGGAGCAAGCTTGTTTGGCAGAACAAAGTGGAGGACAACCTCTAAGGGGCCATAAATAGTGAGGGAAGAGGAGTGGCCTGGGCCTGAAAGCTCCATGGGACCTTGTCCCCAGGGTTGCCTCTGCCAAAGCATACCATTGTTCTGTCCCATCTGTTTGGACCAGAATGCCAGAGCCTGGATCATGCTTGTGGTAACTTTTCTACCTACTGAGCTATGGTTCCTGGAGCCCCTGGGTGCGAGGTCATTAGATACTCCTGGGGGCATGGGTAGGCTGGGAGGCTGGTGTGTCCTGTGTATCCCAAGATTCCTCTTCCTTTAAGGACCAGAAAGTTTGGTTAAACTTCAGTCAACAGTGGCAAAGCTTCCAAGAGGCAGAGCCAGTCTGGCATGGGGACCTGGGGGCTTGTAACACTTAGATATACCTGGCTGAAAGTGGGTTCAACAACCTCCATCCAAACCGAGGAGCTTGAAATAATCTCTGTCTCTGTTCCCACAGTCCAGACAAATATGGTTTCTTCAAAGAAGGAGGGCAGAACAAAAGTGGAGCATGGTAAGGCAAGACACTTTCCCCACTTGAGCCTCAGTTTCTTTGACTGTGATATGGGTCCTCAGCCTTGGTCAACACCTTCTACCTGCAAAGAAAGGGTTCTGAGTCCAAAAGTCTATGTCCTTTGCTTCCTACTTATATTTATGTCTTGCTCTCTGCTCCCTGGGGGCTGGGATAGGGCCCAGTGGCAGGAGAGTGGGAGAGGAGAAGCAAACTTCTAATCACCTCACCTACTTCAAGCAGTGTACACTAACCAGCAAATGAGATGCTAAATCTCTTGAGTTCAGTGTCTATTTCCCATGCTGATCTAAAATTTTTTGTGTGTATTTTTGAAAAGTCCATCTCAAAGACTTGGAAGTGGGCATAAATATATAAACATGATTATATCTTAAACATGAATTTTAAGAAGTGACATTTTAATGAAATATGTTGACCACTTAAAAAATAGGACAAGTGCCTGGTTTCTTGACATGCTCACAAGTTTTTCTTGGAATGGCTAAAAACTGGAAACAATCGACATATCCTATAATGGGTGAATGGTTAAATTGTGGTATACCTGTACCACAGAACACTACTCAACAATGAAAAGGAATGAACTATTAATTTCTTTTGGCTGAATCTCCATCTTGATTGAAAAAAATCTCCATCTTAAAAGGTCATACACTGTATGATTCTATTTATGTCATATCTTCAAAAATGACAAAAATTCTCCTGGTTCTGGTGAGCAAACCCAGTGCCTTGAGTATGCTAAGGACATATTCTACCACTGAACAACACTTCCAGGAAATTGACAACATTTGGAAATAGATTAGTAGTTGCCAGGGGTTGGGGACTATAAGGGAATTAGAAGGGAGATCTTGGTGTTGATGAACTAGTTCAGTCTCTTGATTTTTGTGGTAATCTCATGAACGTGTGTTATGAAATGACACAATGACACACACTTTACATGAGTCAATTTCCAGGTCTTAATATTGTAAACAGCTGGCTTGGCTGTGCTATCTTGGCTACTTCTGTGAATCTATATTATTAAAAAGTAAAACTTTAATAAAACCCCTAAACTAAATTAATAAAAGGCACATGTGGCATTCTGCTTAGAGGTAGAGGACGTATCTCCATAGGCCAATAGGAGCTGTTGGAGGGGTCCCTGGAAAGGCAGGAGGGCCGGGAGCTCTTGCTAGGAAGGGAGGGATGAAGGGTAGCTGGTCAAGGACTAGGAATGCATTCGTGTCTCGCTGGATGGAGCCCATTCTGGTCTGCCTAGGGTGGGACTGATAGACCGATGGGGGGCGCAAGCACATCTGTTGGTACCGTGGGGAAAGTCCAAGTGAAATCCGACCAGGAAGGAGGACGAAGGCTTGTAGGTTTTGCCAGCCTGGGTTATGACTGCCCCGGGGACAGTGAAGGCGGTCAGAGGAGCGGGAAAGGGGCACTCCCAGGATGTTGGCGCCGCCTAGTTCTCCCTCTCCGGGCAGCGTTAGGGTCAGCAGGTGTGTGCATCCGGGCGCGGAGGTGTGTCTCAGTGTCGGCTGTGCGACCTGGGGACTTGTGGAGGGGCGAGGGCTCCCAGTCTGGCCTCTCGGTTGCCACAGAAAAGCGTTAGCACCAAAGCGCTATCGCTGTGTGGCGAACTAGCTGCTGGTGGTGGTGGGGGCTGGCACTAACCCAGGAGGCCACCTCTGGGCGTCCACACAGTTGACACCCAGCCTACCGTGAGAGATCACTTCCCAGACTGGCGGCCTCCTCTGATTACCAGAGTCCTTCCTCTGTGATCCAAAAGGCGTCCCCCAAAGCTGTCTAAATTGATGTGGCCTCCCTTGCCCAGGCTGTTCTACAGCCCCAGGTTCCAGGCTCAGCACTTTTGGTAGGGACAGCCTAGCCTACATTCACATTTCTTGCTAATTGGATGCCAATTCACACACCATCACCTTGTAGTCCTCCACCAGGCACACCAAGGACCTAGTACTAGACTTCAGGGAATAGCTTCTTCCTGATCCTTTCTTGTGGCAAATTTTTCTTCCAAGTCCAGCCTGCAGACACCACTTCTTCAGAGTCTTCTACTGGCTTTTACCACTGACTACCACGTTGTATCTACTTTCCTGCTCCCTCCACCCAATACTGAGTTCTGTACTGAGCATATCCTGTGTGCATACAGGATACATCATAGGAGTTTATTTTTGGCTAAGATACCTGGCTCCCTGGGGTCAGGACTATGCCTTTCTCCAGTTCTGAAATCCTCCCTTTGCTCCAAGCTCAGTGACCCATGTAAGCCAGGTAAGGAGCAATACATGTAAGGCAGGAGTTAGGGCCCCTGTTATTCAGGACAAGGTGGTATGAAAAGTTCAGGCTTCCAGGGCACAGCCAGGCTGGAAAAATGAGTCCGGAGTTCTGGCACCTTGGCAGTTTTCACCCAATCAGCCAATATTACGCTTGCTTCTGTTTGTTCTCTCTGTGTGCCCCCTTCAGGGTTGAGGACTTTTTATTTTTTTGTATAGCTCATTTTACAGATGAGAAAACCAAAGCCTAAAAGGAGTTAGTGCATCAGGCAACAAGGAGAGGAGCTGGGATTTAGATTTAGGTTGCCTGATGTAAGATATCCACCACTCCCTTGTCCTGCCCTGATGTTTTTAACCATGACACAGTCCTGGTCAGTTAGGAGGCAGGGGATGGTAGAGCCCCAGCCCCAACTTGGGTGCCACCCCACGGCCAGAAAAGAGCACTAGACTGTGCTGAGGGGAGTCCTGGGCTTTGGGACGAGGGATCCAGAGTGTCCTGACAGGGGCTGCTGGCACGCCTCAGGAGAACCTGTCCCGGCCCTGGCCCTGCTTTTGTTTTCATGGGGCTTCGGCCCAGTAAGGGTTTCCAGGAAGGCCCAGACCTGCTCATTTATTGCTGTGCTCAGGAATGTCTTGTCCACACCAGATCTGAATGTCTGGGGAATGATGGCTACTTGGACTGGGTGGGACATGGGTTATCTTGATCTCCAGATGAGGTAGTATCTGCTTTTGGAGTTGCTGGGGAAGGCTCCTTGCCTTGGATCTTGCTCACTCTCTCTTTCCGGCCCCTGATAAAGAGTTCCAAACACAGGGCCGTAAAGTTGGCCATAAAAGCGGCGAAGAAATGCTGGTGCAGCTGGCTTATCAAAGCATATTGAGGACAACCGCCAGGGCTCCCTACTTCAAGTTTATTTCTCCTTCTCTGCTTTCTCTCAGAAGGTGTCTCATAAATAGCTAAGAGGGTCATTTATAAATGTCTCCTGCCTCTCCTTCTCAGCACAGGCACTGCTGCTTTGCTCTTTCGTTTCCTCCAGGTACGGCGGTGGTAGAGATGACCAGGCATTGAGCAGGATGACCTTTGTCTCCCTTCTTCCAGCAGAGATGGGAAGTGGAAGCTGGAGAGTCCCACATCCCCAGATAGGATAAGGCTCCCAAAGGTGAGTGATGGTGACCTCTTTGGTCCTATTTCTGCCCATGGCCTTCCTCAACTTCCCCATGGTATCGATGGGGGGAGGGTGTCAAGGGGACTGCTGGGGAGCTGGTCTTTTGCCAGGGACTGGCCTCAGTAGTTAATCCATGCTGCAGAAGCACTCTCAAGGCATCAGAGCTGAATGGAATTCAGAGACTGCTTCATGCAAGTTCCTCATTATTCCAGAGATGCCCAGGGGTGGCAAGGGGGCCTTTCCCTGAGGTCTCACTGCAAAGCAGAAGTAGAACCAGAGGTAGGACGTGGCCTTGCTTCCTCTCTGGGGGAAGAAGTACAACTCTCAACCCTAACAGCAGCAAAGCCTTCTGCTTGCAGAGCATGTTTCCTGATACAGAGGGCTGCGATGGCCTCCATTTTGTGTGATCTTTGCAGTGATTCTTTAAACAAAGCAAATTATTCCTATTTGACAGATAAGGGGTGCTAGATGTGTGGGATCATGCAGCTTGACAGAGGCCTCTGCTGACCATGACACAGCTCTGTTCACTTCTTGCCTTTTCCATTCTTCACAGGGTTTTCCTTGTTGAGTTTCATCTCATTCATTTTCAGAGAGGCTCATGGAACGTAATCTCAACACAGCCCTCAACACCTTAGTCAGCCTGCTCTAACCTCCCAACTTATCAAGCTGGCAGCTTCGCAATCATGAGATGAAACAGAATAAGGTACTTCCCTTGGCCTCTGTCCTACTTCCTGGAGGGTGTTTTGGTTCCTGCTAGGTGGGAGTCTGTGGCTGCATTGGGCAAAGCCCCCAAAAGGTGAGGGAGACTGGGAACTCTGCACCATAGCTGAGAGGGTATCAGATTTGGAAGGTGGATGGTGGGGTGGTCAGTGTGGGTGTGGGAGGGGCTCTGGCTGTGGGAGTTTGAGCCTTACATGAATTTCCTGTCTACCTGGCAGTAGCCCAGTGCTTGGCATACAGCAGACATTCAGGAAATGCAAATGACACTATTTAGCCCAGCCTCCTATGGCCACGGTAACTGTGCCTGCCTTAACCACAGAGTGGCTTCCTCTTTGTTATATCACTTTTGTTAAAAGGTATTGTGTGTTATATCACATTTATTTTGAGCCCCCCCCCCCCCCCC